ATTATTATTATTATTATTTTAGGATGGCGTGACTTTCATAGATTTACATCCTGTTTGGTGACAAAGATGGACAGAGCCAATCGTTTACTTCTGTCTTAGTCTCTCTGTGTTCACCTGTACTGGTGGGTGTGTCTGTGGGCGTGTCTGTGGGCGTGGCTGATCCCTCACACCCCTGCACCAGGTCTTTCTAATTGGCTCCTGCCACTTCCTGCTTCAGTCTGAGCTCCAGACGGTGAACTTTTCTTTTCTTCTTCAGCTTCAGTTCCAAACTTCACTGGTCTGTTCCTACTGTGGGTTCTGTCTGTTCTGTCTGTTCTGTCTGTGGGTTCTGTCTTTCTGTCTGTTCTGTCTGTTCTGTCTGTTCTGTCTGTTCCTACTGTGGGTTCTGTCTGTTCTGTCTGTACTGTCAGTTCTGTCTGTGCTTTGCTCCACCTCGTTCCTGTGAGGTTCTTCTGGTTGACTGATCTGTGTCGTGGTCTGTGTCCGTCTGTGACTCCAGAGGATAAACGGGTGAGTCTGAATCTCTGTAACTCTTTGTTAAGTTTCTTTGGAGAGTGGAGTAAAATACACCAGTCAGTTTTGATATTTTAAATCTCTCCTCCAACGGTCGCTTTATCTCTGTCTGAGTTTTAGGACTGAAGTCGACGATTGTCTTGTTGCTGCTTTTTTTGTCTCCTGCGTTTATTCAAGGTGAATTTCATGGGGTTAGGGTTAAAGGTCAGCAAAAAAAAACCCACAGCAACAACATCTGACGACTGTTTTAGGGTCTGGTAAAACGACGTCCCTGGTCTGTGTTTGAAACCACCTGGTCCGCTGAAGGAGACCGTGATAATTCTCAACAGAAACATGAAGCTTGACCTTTGCATAGAATCTGAGATAGAAAAATAAAAAATAAAAATAAAACCCAACAGGCTGACAGTTCAGCCCGACCGTGGCTACAGCTGGTCAACTCTAAGGTGCTGGGCTTCAGTTCAGCTCAGGAGGAAATCTATCATTTACTCACAGTGAGGAACGTAACGTTCACTTCACAGCAGTGGAGAAGGAGTTTTAGGGTAAAAAAAACAAAATCCAAACCAATAATAAAAAACAAATGTCTATGAAGATTCTCAGTCATCCAGGTCAAGGTCAAAGTTGAAGAGTTCACGTCCAGTTGTCGTAACAGAACTCTTCAACCTAAAAGTTGTGAAGTGTTTTTTTTTAAATAGATATAAATGAACGATCTGTGCAGCTGTTCAAAGACAACATGTGAGAGAACAGGATGAAACATCAAACTGAGAGACTTCGTCTGTGAAGCTGTGATCAACTCCAGGTTTTACCTGTAAGAAAACTGTTTTCACGGTCGGCCACAGTCATGTTTCGTTGCTACAGACTCAGCGTAAAGAGAATAAAATGGACCATAGGAGTTGAAGAAGAAAAAAAAAAAGACTCAAAACTTTCAAGTTTAGTCGCGTCGTCGTTGTTGATGTTGTTTTTTTTCTGAAAAGAACAAAAATCTGAGCCGGCCTAAAACGCCTCGGTGTTCAACCATAAAAATAGTAGGAATAAATATCGTTGTAGGCATGCAGTTAGAGTAAGGCTTGACAACCTGGCTTGCACATTCCACGTGGGTCATCGTTCTGTACGAAGTGCAAAGGGAAACTCGTAAAAGTGTGAAGTTCTAGAATTCCTTTCTATGAAAGGCTGTATTCATGCAGGATCCGTTAATATTCTCCACGGAAAGACGGTGAAAAGTCCAGAGTTTGAAGGTCCAGCTCCGTCCTTCATCTGCCAGAGTTTGAAGTCTTTTTTTCTGAACATTTCATTTTTTTTTTTTTTACCCTGCATCAGAAACTGTCTCCTCTCTGTTCCACTGGATGAGTCAGTTTTTAATTGACGTGTTCTCTAAGGCATTGCTTGTAAAATCTTAGCCAGTCCTTGTGCTCTTCGGGGAAATCACAAAAAATTTGCAGTGCAAATCCATCACCAGGCAGTCACTTCCGACACTCGTCTCAAACGTGTCTTCAGAACCGCTGCGAGGTCGAGAGAGAAAAATAGAACTCTGATGAATGCAGCTCATTCTGGCGTGCATAAAAACCGAGGTCGGCGTTAACGTCCCGTCTCTTCCGACTTGTGCAGTTTGGACTTTTGGCTCTTCCTCCCTCCCTCCCTCCCTCCCTCCCTCCCTCCGTCCCACTCCTCACATTTCCATGTTGAATGCCCTCATTAGATGATCCAAGTCACCAATGTTTGCCGCCTGGAAGAGTTCGGGCTGGTCCATCATGGACAGAGCGATCCTCAGAGCAGCCCAGATGTTCCCAGACATCACCTGGTGGGACTGTTGACGACTTTGGCTTTTTCTCTGGAGGCTCAAGGCCGTCAGGAAGTTACTGGCAGCCTCTCTGTGGAGGCAGAAATACACACACTTTGGAGGTCGTGACAGAAAAAACAATCAGTGTAAAGTAGCTCTGAGTCTGAGTTAGTCAGAGTTCTGATCTGGACTCTTCTAGAACTGAGTGACGTCTCAGCCCTGCTTCTCTGACGGCGCTGTTTCCCGCTCACCTGTGTGCCCCCAGGTTGATGCAGCTGATGCCCAGGTTGTAGCGTGAGCGGATGAATCCCGGCTGCAGCTCCAGGGCTCTGGTGTAGGCCTCCACCGCCTCCTCGCTCCTGTCCCCGTTGGCCAGCGTGGCTCCCAGACGGTTCCACAGTAAGTAGTCCTGACCAGAACACGTGGGTCAAAACCAGAACATCAGGAGTTGAACATTAGAAGGTTGTGTTTGAAGAAGGATTTAAATGTTCAGTAGCTTTAGAATAATAATAATATAAATGTTTGAAGAAGGATTTAAATGTTCAGTAACTTTATAATAATAATAATGGAGTTTCTATCATTCAGCCACTGAATGTTCCATCAGTGATACTGTATGTGGTTCTTCTGGGGCTTGAACCCACGACCCTCTGCGTGTAAGGCATACATGCTCACATGCACCTGGCTTTTTAACAATCTTCATTACAGCCGAAAATTGATGCAGAGGAAATCAGTGTTAATGAATAAAAGACAACGTCACGGTGATTGACACAGAACCATCAAATCACCGACACGTCCACGTGTCCACGTCGTTAGTCTGAGGACGGTGTTCGTTTGGAAACATCAGGAGACACTTGTTCCGCTCCGTTCCGTTGTTAAACTAATTTAAGGAACGTCGACTTTCATCACTGACGCCGTTCTAGACCTATTTCTCAACTGCCGGGGCGTGAGCCCCATCAGAGGTCGTTGACGTTCGTCGTCGTCTGACTTTAAAGTGAGATATACAGTAATTATCTCCCTTTGTGTTCGGAGCCGTGTCTCCTGCAGGGACCGAGTCAGACGTCAGCTCAGATTTAGCGACGAAACAGGTACGATTGATAAAGAAGCTTACGAGAATAATCATATGACTGCTACATTTATTGGGTTTTTCGTGGGATACAGCACAACATCAGATGAAGCCGTCTCCTAAAATATCAAGGTCTGTGTGGTTTTTTTTTTTTTTTTTCTCTGCTGTGATGCAGTAAAATACTGTTTTTGACGTGACGTTAGTGACGACATGAACCTTAAACCTCAGTTATTCTTGGTTCACCTGTAAAAACTGATGTGTTGATTGATGAAGAAAAGTCAAAGGAGTTTGATTTGACTGATTTGATTTCACCGATGGCAGAATTCCCATGATTCCTATAGTGAAATGTTGACTGTGAGTTCAATCCGCTCAGTGTTTACTACGGTTGTTTTTCCTCCCTTTATTATTATTATTATCATGAATGTGTTTCGAGATGGTCCACAAAGCGACAACTAGAAGATATTAAACTGAAAATCTGTTTTCAGTTTTTTTCAGTGCTGAGACACAGACATTTGTCTGGACCGGTTCTGTCCAGACTCGTGCGTTGCGTTGTGTTGTGCTCGGTCCCTAGTGTGTTCCCACCTCAGGCCGCACTGACAGGGCGGTGTGAAAGGCCTCCACGGCTTTGTCGAACTCTCCACTCAGGTTGTAGAGAACGCCGAGGCCCGTCTGCAGATCTGGGTCCACGCCCTCCGGGTTGTGCAGCGCTGCTTCCAGGAACAGATCTTTGACCTCCGGCAGCAGGGAGCTGTGCAGACATGGAGGGAAACGTTGAACAGACATGTAGACAGACAGGTGGTGCGTTCAAGTCCACGGACGTTGACCTTTGACTTCATCTTTTTTTTTGTGCGTTCAAGTCCACGGACGTTGACCTGTGACAAAATGCTTTCACGACACAATTTGTTCTTTTACCGTTTTTAAATGTTGACTAACATTTAATCTTCCTGTAACTCCACACATCCCATAATAATCTATATTTGCTCTAAATGCCTTAACAGCGACCCCTGCAGGGGAGAAGAGAGATGTTTTCTTTTTTAATAAATCAAAATGATAGCCCCGCCCACTCTTTAGGTTTTTGTCGTTGATTCATTTCGTGCTGTCACTCATCGACAGTCGAACTCAAACAACATCAACATTTTATTTATATGAGCAGTGACTCAGTCGTCCAGTCATGGACCAGTCGTCCGGTTGTCCAGTTGTGGACCAGTCGTCCAGTCGTCCGGTCCGTTTGTGATGTAACCGTGCAGTTATCAGACTCTGGTTCCACGGAACATTTTTCTTCCCTGACAAACGTGACACGCTGCGATCGATATCGGCAACTTTCCAACATCAAGACAAATAGACTGTGGATCTGGAGGCGCTGAACTAAAGTTTCAAGATTAAGGAAATGACAGAGTGTTAGTTCTGTGTCAGTGGACGGCGCCGCTCTGGCTTCTGGGTAAAGATAAAGATTGGCCTTTTTATCGCGTCTTAGTTTCCGTTTGGCCGAGCACAGTTTGAGGAGAGGCTGGTGGAGAAGGAGGAAGACGAGAGGAGAGAGAGGAGCTGCAGAGGAGGAGGACGTTAGAATGACAGGGTTTGACATCACCACAGTCACTGCACACATTCAGATTTATATCACACCATCTTCAGTCAGATAGCATTTAAAAACATGTTCATTTAAGTCTGTGGCCTCTGTGTTTGGTTGGAGTCTGTGTTTATGTGTAAGGTCCTAATGTTCTGACACCATTCAGACGTTTCTGCCAAAGCGTCCGGTCCGTAAACTCTACCTGTCTTGTCTGTTCATGTTGAGGACGTGCGACAGCCTGCGCTGGGATTTCGGGGAGGCCACTAGGTGGCTCCTGCTCTTCAGGAGGAGCTTGTACTTGGGGTTGTGTCGGAACCATCGCAGCAGGGCCTCGCAGGCGTCGTTACGCATCCCGGTGTTGGTGAGACTCACGGCCAGGGCCATGAGAGCCGGGAGGTTGTTTGGGTGGAGCTCCAAACACCTGGACGGAGTCAGGACGCAGAGATGAGAGAGAAAAGTCTGGAGGTAATTAGGAAGAACATCAGAGACATGCTAATACGGTTCAGTCTGGACTGAACACCGCTGCCCCCCACAGGCTGGATCTAGTTAAGGCTAAGGTTTTATCAGCAGTGTCGTCTATAGACTGGACTGTGTGACTGGGAAGAGAAGAGACTCAGTTTTTTCTGTGCTTCTCACTGACTCCAGGTCAGAACAGAGAATAATCTGACGTTAGGAAATATTTGAAGCCCAGACTCTGACAGCAGAGGATTTTAGAAACATCTGATTTTTTTAAAAAACCTAATAAAAAAATCAACAAAAAGAATACGAATAAAGAAGAAGACGTATGAGGACGGTCGGTCTGTCTCTGGCCCACGGGCCGTAGTTTGCTCAGGTCCGACTTAGAGAAACGTTTTATTTGATGCAGTGACTTCCCCTCACCTCTGGAGGGAGACGATCGCTGCCTGCTCATTCTCGTTTTCAGCTTGGGTGGTCCCCAGAACCTGCCACGCCTACAGACACACACACAGACACAGACACAGACACAGACACAGACACAGACACAGATGAACCCCAGGTTAAAGGTGCAGTCTGTCCTAAAGTCTGAACTGTTTCCATCAACTGTAATCACAGTGTTTTTAATTTTTCTTTTTTAATCAGTAAAAGGTCAATAATAAAGGCTTCAAACAGCAGTCGTTTGGAGGATGATTCAGTCAGAATCCGCTCCATTAGGATTATGAAATTAATTGTCTGTATTTTTGAGTAGAGCAGCAGCAGAACCTGCCCTGGAGCTAATCCTCCCTCGGAGGTTTTTGTTCCACTCCACCGTACTGAACCACTCTGCACTCAGAGAGGAAGGTTTGTCAGATAATCCTCTGCTCAGAAACACAGAGATGATTTTTGGTTTTTTAAATAATCATTTTCATTATGAACAGACGTGTTGTGTCTCAAAAACAAATCCGTATTTTCTTTAGAAACTGGAAACAGGAAACTGTAAAGAAAAAACTGTAAAGAACGCAGTTCTCCTCCTGCTGTGGATCAGCGTCTGTAGGTGCTGCCTGACGTCTGTGGTCAGGGGCAGCGGTCTGTGTAGACCACTCCACTGGAGGTGAAGTCAGAATCAAACTTCATCTCTGTTATGTGGAAGGTGAAAACACGACCAACCTTTTTTAAATAAAGCTGCGTCTTCAGTCAAACTAAAAACCTGATTTGATTTCCGTGTGTGTGTGTGTGTGTGTGTGTGTGTGTGTGTGTGTCTACTGTATATGATCTGAATGACTTGACCTCTGAATCATGAGGGTCCTGCAGAACAGCTGCTTCCAGGAACAGCACAGCGTTTGGTAAATCTCCGTCTCGAGACTTCTTTAATCCCTCAGTAAAAGCGTTGGGTAAAAATCCTTGTAGGGATTATCTGTATGGAAGTAGTAACCCTGTCACAGAGAGGGGGGGAGGGGGGGGGGGGGGGGGGGGGGGGGGCAAATACAACAGTGTAAATGTCAGTTTCCTTCATGTCCTTCAGACCAGAGCCTCAGTCCTGTGGAGATGGATGTTGATACAGACGCAGAAATCAATTTGTCAGAGTTTGTCAGAGTTTGTCTGTTCCCTGTAAATGTTAAAGTCTGCATTTTCACCACGATTACCCCGGGGTGTCACATGGTCACCCCGTCCTGGCGTC